TAGACTGACCAACTTTGAATAATGCTGCTATGTATTAGTTAAATCTTTTCAAGTGAATATTTTCCTATTTTGGAGGGATTTAACAAATCACACCCAAAATAGCACTTAGACCCTATGAAAAATATTGTGGCTACCCAAGCGATAGGACAGAGGAAGGGAAGAGTAAAGCGTAGCACCTAATAGTGGGAAGGGCATGAGAACTTTAGCGGTGGGTGGGTGAGGCTATATGCACTTCGAGGTGAAGATGTACCCCCAAGATTTACATAATATTAAGAATCAAGGGCTAATCAATAAAACTGTACAAAATGAAAAATAAAATACAATACAAATTTTATGTTCTTAATAATAGTGTACATCACAGGCATTTTTCTTCATTATACTTGGCGAAAGGAACAATAACTCAATTTCGGTCTGTGATTTATTTCATTACCACTTTTTTAATTTCTTGATCTGTGGAATCCTTAAGTCTGAGACTCTGGTTTACATGTTCTTTGACCCGGTGACTCAATTTCTAGGAAATGATCCCACAGTATGTGATACAGGAGATAATTTAAAAACAATAGTATGGCGGGTCCTCCCTAGTGGTGCAGCGGGTTAGAGCACTGCACAAAGAAGCTTAAGCCACTTCCACATGAGTTCAATTCCCGCCTGCCCCGGAGGTGACCCACATAGCACGGCAGACCTCTCCTGACCCGCCCGCTGCTCCCCTCAGCAGTGTACTTCGTCGATCTGCCTGTTCTGCTCTCCACTCTGTCTCTGGTGAATCTGCATTGCTGGCCTGTACCCCAGTTCTGTATGAATAAATAAATAAATCTTAAAAAAAAACAATAGTATGGCAGCATTTATTAAAAGAAACCTTTCAAAATAAAATCATAGAACACTTAAACTACAGTATGGGCAAATATGATCACAGAAGTGCTCATAATTTAATGGTAAGGGGAGAGGAAAATATAGTAAAAATCCAAAATATATTTGCAGTTTTCAGATCAAGTCTTCTGTCCTCTTTTTTCTTCTAAGTCTAGCCTTTTTATCTAAATGTCCACAATTGCATGTGAAACCTCTGGTTTCTCATGTTCTCTTCTGTCCTCATCCATTTTGCCCTTTACTGCTGTGTCCTGGGAGAGCTCTAAACGCCTGTACTGCTTTCTGCCCTGGGATCAGCAGTTAACTGCACATAAGGCTTTCCACCCGCTTCATACTTGCTTTCATTTTAACACTGCCTCTTGCAGGGTGGTGGCCTCTATGTAGGTCACCGTTTTCAGCTGCAGCTTCTGAGAAATCATACATTTCTATGTCCTCACTGCCAAATTATTTTCTTCTGCTTACCTTAGTAGCCCATGATTTTTTGGAATATATTCCTCACAATAATATGTTTCTCCTCTGAACCAAAAAGTCATTTGGGTCATTTGGAGTTGCAAGGGGAACTCTGTAGACTTGGAAAACCTAGGGTTTGCCAAAAGAAATGCTCCCCTCACTGTCCACATGGGGGTGGGAGCCCCCATGCGATCCCGGTCAGGGCCCCTTCCCAGAGCTTTGTCATGTGCCCGCCGGTGTATCTGTAGCCTGAAGTGAGATCTATCCCCACGTCTCTGTCACTATGTACCAGTGAGAACATATTCCCTGGGCAGCAGGCTCTCTGAAGGATCCTGTGGAACCTCCTCCCATCCCCACTGCAGCTGATGGCTGTGGCCACCAGAGAGTGATACGCCATAGTCCCACCACCCAGAACCTGATAACATGACTTTCTGTAGAGCAGGGTGAGTGTAAAGGCAACGAGTCACAGTAAGACGAGATCATTAGGTTAGACCCCTGACTATTTTTAATATTGAAAAACTTTATTGGAGTAACGTCAGTTTATAACATAAGCTTCAGGTGTGTAAGTATTATGACTTGACCTCTGTATATGCTTTATTATGGTTACCCCTAAAAGTGTCCATCCTCCACCACACTGATGGCTCCTTACACTTGATTTCCCTGCCCCCCTCCCTCCCCTTTCTGGTACCCACCACTTTGTTCTGATAGTATATTTTTGCTCATTTCTTTGTTTTGTCTCCTTTCTCTATATCCCATATGAGTGAACTCATTCTCCATCTGACTTATCTCAGTAAGCACCATCATCCCTGCCAGTCCCATTCATGCTGTGCAAGTGACAAGAGTTCACCTTATGTTCAGGCATAGTATTCTAGTTTTTCTTCATGCGTGTATAGGTGTGTGTCACATCTTTACCCAGTTATCATTCTGAAGAATACAAAGCACAGATTTGAGGGAGCAGATGCTAAGAGCACCTGCCTGACATCACCTGGACAGCATCCTGGAGATGGGAAAGATGATCTTGCAGGGAGCCTTTCAGGATGACTCTGTCAAATGCGCCCCCGTTTTCCAGCTCTTTTCTTTATGCATTCATCTGCACATGGGCACTTAGATTGTTTCCAAATCTTAGTCACTGTAAATAGTTTAGCAATAGTCACTGACACCTTATGACTCCAGAACTGTGAGCCAATGTATTTCATTGTTCGAGGTGCCCAGTCTGTGGTGGTGTGTGAACAAACTGGATACGCTTGCCACCTGCCTCTCACCGTGTTCCCACCATTCCTGTGCACAGATTTCTAGCATTCTTCTCTGTCAATTTTGATAAGATGATTGTCTGACAGGACCCATGCCTGACCATTTGTTCCTTTGGAATAGCATTTCTCACACCTGCATCCCAGTACTTCATACATAACTGGATCTCGGTTAATGCTTTCGAATGAATGAATGGTAAGAAAATTGCCACGTGTCTCCAAGTGTACCCTGGCGTAAGTGTATACATCCATCCATTCCTTACTCAGCACAGACCCTCAGGTCTCTGTATTCCAAGAAACAGCTCTCCTACTAGTTGTTTTATAACCTCCCCAACTAAAAGGCCAAAGACCCCAAAGCAAGAGGACTCTAGAAGTACCTAAAAAAATACCTACTTTATTTAACCCGTGCACTAAAAGTAAACCACAAAGACTCAGTGCACTAACAAAGTAGTTTTCTAGGACTCAAAATTTGAAATTCATCAAGTCCCTTGATAAAGTGAACTTCATCTGAGAATTGTTTGATGATTGTCGCTTTTTTAAAATATAGTTTTCATAACAGGAGTTGCAATAAATTCCCCTTTTTAATGAAAAGCACATGAATAGAAAATGATTAAGGAATGTTTCCTGAGAAATAATCATACAGTAGCTCTACCAGCCACCCGTGTTTTCACTGTTCTTGGTTTCAATACCCATGGTCACCTATGATTTTAAAATATTTGTTCCAATAAGATCCTTTGAAAAAGATAGAGAAACCACATTCACGTAACATTTTTTTTAAGATTTATTTATTTATGCATACAAGAGCTGCTCAGAGGTGTGGGGTGTGAGAGGATTTACCAGAGATACTGGGGAGCAGAACAAGCAGATCAATTGAAACCCACTGCTGAGGGGAGCAGCAGGGAGACAGAAGGGGTCTGCTGTGCCATGTGAGCCAGCTCCTTGGCCTGGGATGGAACTCAGGCCACAGTGCCTGGTGATAGCTTCACAGTGCTGAGACCTAACTCCTTGCACCACCAAGGAGGCCCTCTCATAACTTTTTTCAGAGTAGAATTGTTATAATTGCTCAATTTTATTATTATTTGTAGTTATTAATCTCTTACTGTACCCATTCTATAAATGAAATCTTGTCCGCATGCATTTATAGGAAACCAAGGCTCAGGGGTCCACTGGGAAGCTTGGAGCATATCTACCACAGATAAGGGGGATTACTGTAGAGGATTGTTGAATATCTCTATATTATGTCAATAGTGGACATCTTAGTAATATATAACCATAGCCTTCCAAGAGAATTATAAGTATATATTGATACTGCTGTATGAACAGATCACTTTTTCTTTCTAGAAAATTTTCTGCAAAAATATCATTTAACCCAATGTATCTTTATTTATTTCTTTTGAATAAATCCCTAAAAGTAGAATTTTCTGATCATATTATGTGTTTAGATTACTTTAATTTAAATGTTCCACTTTCTACTTGATGCTATTAGAGATATATTCCTGTATCTTGATTTAAAATGATTGTCTTGGACTGTTTGGATATTTGCATTTTTTTTCTAATTTCTCAAATGTTCACAGTTCAATTTGAAATAAGATTTCATTGCAGATCAATAATTCTTTTAAACCACCAAATGTTTATTTTGACCTGAAAAGGGATTATGGTGAAGGTGTTGCATCTTAAATAGAAAAAAAAAAATTCTGTCTATCACCCTATTTGTCAGAAAAATAGTTTGAACGTGTAGGGTGGAATGAGTTGAAATAACCAATGGTATTTTTGTTGTCTCACTAAGGAGACATTCCAAAATCTTGAAGCACAAGCCATACTTTGAAAGTCGGTCTTAAACTAAATCCCATAGGAGGGAGGCTTGGCAAACACACCAACACTCTTCTTGTAACCCTAAAATGTTCACGAATTCCAGGAAGCTCCCATCATTTTGCAATCCAGATTTTGCACCATGAGTCTCCTTCCTCCTTCTGGTCGATGAAATGTTCTAATTTTTCTAAAACATCATCCAAATCCTCGAAGTGCTATAAATTCCAATTATAAAAGTGCCATTTCAATGGATGGTCTTCAATGTCAGCAAAGACTCCCCCCCACCAATAAAAGGGGAGGGTATGATGTGACTTGATGAAGTGTCCCTTATAATGCTATGACAACCACAAGCCACGTCATCACAAGCACAGCCTCGGTGGTCAGGCCTGGGCTATCTTTGAAACAAAATCACATACTTTGGGAAGCAGTGTGGGTAACCCAATAAGCAGCAGCTGTTCTGAGTCTTCGAAAAATATGTATCATCATTTGCCCAGTGCTCAGTACCAGCGTTAGCCGCAAAACTGTCGGCCAAAATGGAAAACGCTTGTCTTTTATAACGATTGGAAAACCTCTGAGAAAATAAATACATGAAAAAAAAAATTGCTCTTAATCTGAGGATCCTGTCTCAATTTCAATGTACTTTGTTCACTTCCATTTCTCTGTAATGCTAATTTGCTCTTATTACCCAGAAATTCCATACACAGTAAACGATTGCTCCATCCCCTCCAGTCTTAATAATGAATGTTCCATCCCTGCGCCATTTGAAAAGCTTTCTAAAGACCCTTTTAAAATGAAAGGTGATAGCACTGGATGTAATGTTTATTTACAAGATATCATGATCCAAGGCTTCCAGAATACTCAGTATAAATAACAACCAGCAGCATGCACTGCATTTAATAGAAATTTGATCCCATCAATTTTACATGCTCCCACGAAGGAGAGTGTAGAATGCTAATGATGCTGATGAGAATTTGATGTTGACAGAAGATTCATTTATAAATAAAAATGGCCAGAAAGATTATTACATTGGACGAAGTTTTGTCAATACCCATCTAACAGTAGGTCTCACTCTCCAAATGACCAGCCACGCTTTCAATAACAATCATTCATGAATAACAATGATGATGCTATGTTGTACTTGTGTAGCACTTTTCATCAGGGGACTTAAAGACATGTATTAAATTATCTTCAGGCCCCTGGACAGCCTGGACTTAGAGTACGGACTTCCAGAAGAAATCCGAATCGGGCCCCCCAGTCTTCGTTGTGCTGGAAGAACGTTGTCAGAATTCAGTCCTCTGCAGATCTCTCACCCAGATGACCTGGAGAGGAGTCCTCGCAGGCAGTGAGAAGGTGGCTCAGTCCAGGCGCTCCCAGTCTGACCGCCTGCTCAGGTAGCTGTGGAGTTGGGTGGGTAGGTGGAGCAATCCGCCCACGAGTGTGCATTTATTCCTTAATGAGGGCCTCTAGAGGTCTCTCGCCATCTTTGGTGAGAATGGAAGAAGAGCTCACTCACGCGTTATAACTCTAGCTTGTTTTAAGCTGAAGCATAAAATGACCACTTGAAAACCATTCTCTGACCTCAGCAGAGGTGGGACCGCCCAGACCCTGCTGCGATATCGCAGATGTTTAATTCCCAGCAGCGGCCAGGCCTGCGGACATTTTCTATCACAACTAACAGCACCCCAGCACCCCGGGGTGGGGTATCTAGAAACGGATGAGGAAACGCCCCAGAATGATGCTGCGGTCTGATTTTCGCCCGGTGCCTGTCTCCCCGCCACCACGTCCCGCAAGGCGCAGGAAGGCTGGAACGGGCTGAGGGGCCGCAAGCTTCAGTCCGGTAGGAATGGACTTGAAGACGCGAGGGCGTGATGACAGATGAACCAGCGGGTGGGGAGCCCTGAGGCAGGCGCGCGTGCTCACGGCCTGAAGGCCGCCGGCGGACGGGGGACGCAGCCACCGCGCTGGAGAGCCAGGGCCCGGGCCCCCTCATTCCCGGTGGCACAACAAGCAGCAGGGTGTCTGGGGGGGCTGTGGGTGGGTAGGAGAAAGGAGAGACGGTATGGGAGTAATTGCCAAGTGGTCATTCACTCCATGGGTGCTCCAGAGGCTGCAGGTGGCAGGTGCCGGAGATCCTGAGGTGAGAAAAGGTAGCGTGGCGGTGCCTCCCGGACCCGACAGCGAGTCGCGGCCCCCGAGAGGGCGAACCCCACCCGGTCAGTCGGCCCTTGCGGGGAGGGGTGTGCTGTGTACCAGCACTGACCTAGCATGGAATTCAGAGAAGCTTCCCTGAGAGGGCAGGAGCCCTTAAGAGACCAACGAAGGGTGGGGCGAGGGTGATTCCGGGGAGTGATGGGGGAGCAGGAAAAGCAGAGCCTGTTAGGTCCCCTTTAGGAATTCTGTCTTCACCTCGGGGACAACCGGGAGCAGTAAAAGATGGGGTGGTCCCTTTTGTGGGTGAGCCTTATGCACATGAAGATGTTTCCCTGACAGGTATGTCGTTTTGTGACCCGTCGGTAAATTAATTAAATAAAAAAGACTCATTCATTAAAAAACATGTGACCTGGGCTCTAGAATGGAGTGCATTGGGTGGCACCAGAATGTTTTCATGGAGACCAGAGGGGGCCCCTCCCACAGTATTCTGCCCCCAAGGGATAGTAGACCTAGAATTTTAAGGTGTTGAGATGTTTGTACTTGGAGTTCATCAACTTTCTCCTTCACTTACTAATCCAGCTAATATTCAGTTTGTTACATGATAGTCTGAAAGTGTCTATTAGGTTTTATGTTGTTGTTATCAACCTCCAGTTTTCTGCCTTCTCCTATCACTGCTGTCATCAACAGCCATCTCCTTTTGACTTCAGGATCGCCATTCAGCTTGTGAGGGTCACAGATGGAATTAAGCAAGTTAGCTCTACCGGTGATCAAAACAGTTATGATGAAGACAGTATTTTTTTTTATTTTTTTTTATTATTATTATTGTTATTTTTTTTTTTTTTTACCAATCACCACTTTCAAATAGGTGCAAAGTGGAGTTCATAAAACCATAAAATAAAACCAACCTGGGAAATAGGTTGTTTGGAAAGTGTGCAAAACTTCAAATAACATAAATTTTTCAGCTCCGTGCTGACATCATTTCTGTGCCGATAGATACTGGTACATTAGTGACTACAGCTGCAGCAGCTTCACCTGGGCCTATTAAAAATAAATGTGCTTCTAAAGGACCATAAGCTGAGCTTCGAGAATGCGTTTCTAGAATTCAAACATATTTTCTGTAAATGTCCAGAAAATAATTTCAGTTATCTCCTAGGGCTGGGTACTTAACCAATGTGAGCTCTTTTTACCATTCAGTTATCTTTTTCCCCTACGAAGATGTCGATACAAAGCTATCGTATTTATTTATTTTTTTTACAGTGGTTTATTTTGTGGTTTAGCTTAGTCACTTACAACCAGCTAAACAAAGTCAGGAGGCCTTTGTATTTTATAGACACACATGTGTTTACATGTACATTGAGTCTCTGTTGGGGGATGCGATAGGAAGAAACTGTAAAGGAGACGCTGGATCCCAAGGAATCAGGAGAGAGTTATGTAAACTTTTAAGGAAGGGGATGGAGGAGCCAGGCAATAAAATCATGTTCTTTTGATTTTGCATGAGCTTTGCCATGGCATGAGTCTGCTTTGACATTTGACATTTTAACAATCGAAACAAACACGAAAAATAAGCCAAGGACAACAAAAACACATGTGTACATGGCTGAGGCTGTTCGGTGAGGGTTAGAGCTGCCGGTTGTGCAAGACTGAGAGCACTGTAGAGAAGCAGATGTCTGTTGCTTGCTTGGGCAAGACTCCCCCTCTCATCAGACCGTGGGAACACAGACATTAACAAAAGTGGGGTGATCCTAAGGTTTAGGAGAACCCATAAAAGGAGCGCACTCTTTTCCTTTGAGATTGGCTCTGTGTACATTAAATTCACTCATTTATCCCTTCATCAGTCTGCTGAGCATTAGCTGCTGCGACTCAACCTGCCGGCGCCACTTTAATGATTCCGCCATATTTGTACAGGGTGAACGATGTAACCGGCCTCGAGTGCATTTCCCAGCTGTGGAAGGAGCGGGTGAGCACTGAGGGAGGCGCTCATGTGAAGAAGCAAGATGTCACCCTGACACCAAGCTTCCAGGCTGAGTTTCAGTTTGGTTTGGGTTACAGCAATGGTTCCCAACCAGGGGACAGTGTTGGGCCAGAGACAGCCTCAGGCCTTCGTGACTGTCACAGGGAGGACAGAGGCCACGGCTGCACGCAGTGAGTAAGGTCAGGGCTTCAGAATCTCACAGACACAATCTAGTCCAGGAACAAAGAAGGGCGGAGAGGAAGTGTCACTAGTGCTGTAGTTTAGATCCTGTGGTGAGAAGGGGTTCTTGGGAACGTCAGTTGATGACCCAAAATTTGTTGTTGCCAATCTGGGTAAGAGGAACAAGGAAGAAAAACAGAAAGTGAATTTCTTCTCAACGGAGGTTCACACACAACTGTTGGATTCGCTCACAAATGAGTCGAAATCTAAGTTCTGTTTTTGACAAAGAAGCGCTCACTTGGCAGACAGCAGTTTTTCAAAATTCCATAGTGCGGCTGCCCACGGACACCGCAGCAATAACATTTTTATCTGTTGGGGATGGTCTCCCTGGGTGCAATTACAGTATGTTCAGAACAGAACTCATCTCATGTCCTGTTCCTACAGTCAATCCGCTCGTGGTTTCCCACCATGAGAGTCACACATTTAATGACGTGCATGTGCCAGGTAGTAAGAATACAGTTAAAGAAAACAGTATTTGAAGCAAAATTCACACTCTCTTATTCTAGTAAACTTCCCACTTACGTATGGAGATGTCTGTAAAGAGCCAGCTCGTAATTCCAGCCACGAGCATGAAAAAGTGAAAGACTGAGGAAATTCACCATGTTTACAGTCCGTCTTTAGTTACATGTGCTTGGGTCCGCATGTTTGTGGGGACAATGTTGGGGCAAACACTTGACACCACAATTTACTGGACCATGCCTTGTGCTTCCGGAGATGTCCTGGCTGGGAGGGCATCAACCTGTCACTAACCTCACTGCCAAAGGGACAGTCACATCAGTAAGTCCTGATTCTAAACACTTCTCAGGGTGAAAACTTCTAAGTGCTATTGTTACATAATCTTAAAAATAAGTCATGTATATGCTTTTGCTCTTCAAATCTCTACCATCATTAAGTAAACCCATCATAAAAGCATTTTAGGCTGTTTAAAAATCACATCCCAGGGCTCTCCCCGGTGGCACAGTGGGTTAAAGCACCATATTATGGAGTTCTCCAAAGCCACTGCAGCACAAGTTGATCCCCCCACCAGAGAGCTGACCCACATGGCGCGGCAGACCTCTCCTGACCCACACGCTGCCCCCACCAGCAGTGTATTTCAGTTGATCTACCTGTTCTGCTCCCCATTTTGTCTCTGGTGAAATCTTCTCACCTACCACACCTCTGGCCTGTACCCCAGTTCTGTAAGCACAAATAAATAAATCTTAAAAAAAAAAAAATCACGTCAAGGAAGAATAGTCTCATCAACACAATACCAATAAAAAATACACACAAGAATATTTTTATTTCTTTCAAAGCATTTGTTCTAGTTGTCTCTAAGCAACAGAATGGAAAACTTTAGTCTTCTAGAATCTCATGCACTCACCACAGCGTTTGCATCAACATACTGGACTCACTAGTGTCTAACCAGGTTACTCATGGTAAAGACAGTGTTTTTGTATTTATAATGTGGTTCTTCACTAGGTACACAGAGGGATGTACCTTTCCTTCCCAAGACTGGATGGGTAGATGCCATACACACAAATACTCCCGGGTGTTCTCCAGTACATCAACACTGTTCGTGATTCTGACAGTGGTGTGTCAGAGCAATCGAGTGCAATGCAGTAACAGAAACAAGAAGAGAAGCACAGCCCAGCTGCTCACACTAGAACTGCACTGTCGGTTACTCCATCATGTCTACACGGGCTTTGAAGTCAACAAAATGTGCCCAGGCTATATCTTGAGAGCCCTGAGGAAAGATGTACCCTGGGCTTATTTCATGTAGAAGGGACTTGGGGGTACAGCTGGCATCCACTGGAAATTGCTGAGTTCAGATTGAGTTCCCAGCCCTTTATCACTAAGAATTAATTTGGACCCTACAAAAAAGAAAAGGTGATACAATTATAAAAATAGTAGAGGTATGAAATTAAACCCTTAAGTGTTCACTGAAGACTACACATCTATTTATTGAGCACCCACCCAGTCTCCTCCTGGCACTATTCTATGTGCTAAAGATACAGAGACACAATGCATATCCCCCTTCTCTCCTCTCAAGAGCTCACAATCCCCTGGCGGGGGGGGGGAGAATCCCCAGGACAGTGTGAGCCACAGCAGGGGGGTTGGTGCAGAGAGAAGATCTGTGCAGACTCAACCTCAGAAGAGTGACGCTGGAGTTCTTCCCGATGACAAAGAACACAGTACTTGAAGGTTTATTTTATGTATTTTATGCATACAAGAGCTGGTGTAGACCAGAGGTATAGGGTGTGAGAGGACTCACCACAGACAGACCAGGGAGCAGAACAAGAAGATCCACTGAAATCCACTGCTGAGGGGAACAGCAGGGAGACAGGAAAGATCTGCTGTGCCATATGGCTCTGCCCCTGGCTGGGGATCGAACTTGTGCTGCGGTGAGCTTCAGAGTGCTGAGACTTAACCCCTTCCAGCACCAGGAAGGCCCAAGACTACAATATTTGGATAGGAAGGATACTCAAAGAGAAGAGAGAAAACCTGGTAGAAGAATCCAAGTGTACATGTTCACAGGAGGTTACTGAGTGTATTCTCTAGATGTTTGACCTCAAAGGAAAGGCATGAGATGTTCTATGCACGAGATGTTCACTTCAGCATTACTTATAATAATAAAAATATGGCAGCAAACTGAATTTTCAAAGTTAGAGGGAGAGTCAAACCAGGCTTCATTCTTAATGAGGATGCATGCATAATCATGGAAACTCTTGCACACAATACTTTCAATATAGTGATTGCCAGCAAGGTTTAGAAATGAACACAATGATTTCAGTCCCATAAAATATTTAGGTACATACAAGAGAATCAGAGGGGAATACACAAAAATACATCAAGAGGTTGTGGTTTTCTTGAGTCCTCAGACTTTCTGTTAATAATGTTTTTAATCATGCTAATAAAATGGTAGAATTTGGATCCTTTAATAAACTCCAGTCGTGGGAAAATTTACATGAGACTTTTAAAACTGTGTCCTTATAGACCATCATCTTAAGGTAGAGAATACACAGTCAGATCAAATAAAGTGGGAACATTCTCATGTTTAGGGGGAGGGTTTATTCTGCATTGAGTAGATTTGTGAATTGCCATCAGTTCACCTCATCTTACTTATTAGTTTGCACACAAAGCCAGAACAGGTCATCTAAATTATCCATTTACCTCGTAACTGGGATGAAAAGCTCTTTGCTAGGGGCTGAGCACGCTGAGAGTCGCGCCACAATTGATCCTGTAGATTAGAACATTTCCACCCAAGCATTTGGCTGGTGAGATGTCTAAGTAGATTAATTGAAGTAGAAATGCATTATTTATTATTTAACACTTAGTGAAAGTAATCAGGGAGCTAGGTTTAATAATGATTTCTTTTAGAGACTCACCGATGAATGAGAATTAGGTAAACATATCCAAATCATTATTTGGAAGGTTGATCAAGTTTCAAAATCAGGACTTTTTTTTTTTGAAAAGGCAATCAGCATCATGCTCGAACACGGACACAGGACGCTCTAAGACCAGGCCTGTTTGCACCAGATGGGAGAGGGCGTGGCCATGCCTGGGGTCCTACCTGATCAGAACAGTTTCTGCAGGTAAATACAGGGGGTAGGAGTCGGAACCATGTTCCTTGACCTGGGACCTCTTCCTGGTGGCTGCTAATTATTTTAGAGCTGGAAGACTTGCCTTCCTATTACAGATGTCTAAATTGCTGCCTAGGCTGAATTGTATAAAATAGAACCTCCAGCCATATAAGGGAACGCTGGGCTTCTGACTGGCCTGTGCTGTCACCCCTGGGTGCCTCCCGTTCCCCATACCCACTCTCCATGTGTGAGCTGCATAGTTTTGGTATGACAGCCCCCACACAGCCTGACTGAAAAGCCATCCTTTTTCAATGGGGATCTGCTTTGAGAAATTTGATAGAAGATGCAGACAGTCAACTGTCCTCTATAGATGACCTCAGCAGTGTGTCAGGACACACTAGGAGTCTCACACTTCCAGTTTCATAGCTTGGGATACAGCGCTTCATCTTTCCGGGCACTCCTTTACTGTAAGTGAAACCTTTCACAGAAGACGGCGTTGGGATCGCCACTGGCTGCGACCTCATCATTGCCCTACACAAGTTGGGCACACTATTCCTCACCTCTGCCCCTCCTGTTGGCTGCTTGTTGAAATTTTATTGTGGTAGGAATGGCAGAAACATGACATGAAATTTACTCTCAACAATGACTTTTTGTTTACTCCCCAGGCCACCAATTGATTACAAAGCTCCTACAGGACACAGAACACCAGCCAGATGGAGGGAGGCACAGGACCAGGCATGGGGGAAGGCACGGAGCTTCCCTGCCTGCTTGAAAGCACCACGCTCCCAGTTCTGTACTCAATCACCAGCCTTAACCTCCTCGGGCCCTTTCCTCTTGGGTGTTAGTGGTGGCTTCCTTACCTACACACGAGTGGTTAAACCATGAGCCACTGGCTATTGCACTCCATTCTCTGCCCTCCCAGGAAACCAGGGGATGGGACTACGCGTTCCACCCTCCAGCATGTTGGTTTTCCTGGCAACCAGGCCCCGCCTCAGGCATTTTCCAAAAGTTACCTTTATTCTGCATAACAAGAGATACCTTTAACACCCTCACTTCAGCAAGAGGTGAGCCAGGAGCTGTCGATGAGAAATAAATTCTCAGGGCCTCCCCGGTGGTGCACGTGGCTAAATCTCAGCACTAATCTGAGTTCAATCCCCGGCCAGGGAGTGACCCACAGGATGCAGCAGACCTCTCCTGTCTCCCCGCTACTCTCCTCAGCAGTGGATTTCAGTGGATCTGCCTGTATTGCTCCCACTCTGTCTCTGGCGAGTCCTCTCATACCTCTTACCTCTGGCCAACACCCCAGTTGTTGTATGCATAAATAAATCTTTAAAAAGCAGAAATGGGGCCCTTCCTGGTGGCGCAGCGGGTTAAAGCACTGCACTAAGAAGCTTAAGCCACTTCCACATGAGATCGATCCCCACCTGCCCCGAAGGAGATCCACATGGCGCAGCAGACCTCTCCTGACCCGCCCGCTGCTCCCCTCAGCAGTGTACTTCGTCGATCTGCCTGTTCTGCTCCCTACTCTGTCTCTGGTGAATCCTCTCACCCTCTGCATCTCTGGCCTGTACCCCAGATCTGTATGAATAAATAAATAAACTTAAAAAAATATTTATAAAAAACAGAAATGTTCATATACCACTATGCAGGAGAAATCTATTTACATTGTACCTATGATGACCATCTAGACATTTCCTTAATATAGCATGGATTTTCAAGTACGCACTACAGTACTGCCAACTGTGGGCTCTTTGTCAGAGAAGATCTCCAGCACTCATTCACAGTACACAACTGAACCGCACCGCCCTGAACCTACCCGGCCAGCCCTCAGCTATACCTCGGTCTACTCGCTGCCTCTGACTGTGTAGATGGGACCAGGCAGCTGGGTCCATGTGCTACCTGTCCTGCTGTGACTGGCTGACTTCCCTGCCATCATGTTCTCAATTTCATCCATGCTGTGGCCTTTGGCAGGTTTTCCCTCTGCTGTGCATCACGACCACATTGCCTTGCTCTTTCCATCATCACAGATCTCTAGGCTGGTTGCACATTTTAGCCTCTATGACTAGTGCTGGCGTGACCATGAAGTGCGGCTCTCTCTTCAAGACCCTGCTTGCAGCTCATGTTTGTCAGTGGGGGAAGATGCAGAATCAGGATTAACGAATGAGTCAAACAGTAGGTCTAATTTTCTCTGTAGGTTCCATTGACTCTTCTAACCACTTGCTTCTAACAGCACAGATTCCAACATCCGCCGACTCATTCCCAAGTCCACCCAATTTCTGTATTTTTCTGATACTTTTTAAGTATTTGGGGGGTAAGTCTTTCTTTTTTACTGGAGGATGAAGTTGGGATTATCACATGAATGCTAGCAGTGGGAAGGAGAGCTGAACTCCAAGGGTTAACAGTGAACTTCCGAGTAGTAGCAAAAAGAAGGATTATTTAAGAAACCACATTTTATAAACAAGTTTCCTAACAAGCCAGAACAACAAGAAAGTCGAGTCTGGGATTCCCATGATTTCAGTGTTTATTTATTTCGTTTTGATTTTGTAGTTTTTAAATGAATAATTTAACATTTTCATTGTAGAGATAGGGATTTGGACATTTAATTTTTCAGACAAGTCATTCTTTAATAAAATCACTTTTAACAATCACAAATACGTCTCAGAAATCACAGTGAAGGCACAAGGAATATTTACTTATGATCACAATCAGTAGCTTAAACTATAGTTGAGTTCCAAAACTATAAAGTTAAATGTATAATTCTATCATGTGTGATCATTTGAGTCATGTCAAATACACTCGCTCGTTCTATAAAGGCCTTCTTTTGTTACTGCTTAAGAAAAAATATTCTTGAAAGGGTCTCTCTCTCTCTCTGCAGCATGGATTTTTAGTTCCTGTTTCCTGATATGTTAAAAATGAACTAAACATTTGTCTTGGCATTATTTACAAATGAGGGTGAGTTCACTCAGATATGCATCTCAGTGGGAACAGAAGACCAGACATTCTGCAGAGCATGGGGGGTGAGGGGGGAGGAAGAGACCTGGTCTCCAGCCCTCCCCAGACTGCTGGCTTAAGACACAGTGATGCTCTGTACCTCCTTCAAGATGCTGCAAACAGTCCCTCTGACCCCTTTGGGTCTCCTCCAGGCCCTGAGCCTTCCGAGTCTCTGGTATCTCTTTCAATGAGGATGTTTGCAATTATTGCATGCTGACAATCAATGCCTACAAGGAGCAGACAGCCCTTGACAGTGAATCCCTCAATCTTATTTTTAATCATAACAAAGCCATTGAGTTAGATCTAGGAAGATCAACAGAAGTGGGAAAATGTTCAATTGGATGTTAAACTATTTTTAATATGCTAAATTCAATGATGGTGAACCACCAACAATTGTGAAGTCATTAGCAAATAATTTTCTATTTCTTTTAAGAGCTATCTCTACATCTTAGCATATTGCTAAGCATTCTAACACTATATAACTTGGATCCTCAAAGTATCAGAGGTAAAGCCTATCATTCAGGTCTGCCAAACTCAGCAAAACAAAAGAACAGGATGCGCTGTCAACTTTGAATTTCAGGTTAGAATAACTATGTCATCATGGTGGAACCAAGACATAGTTGTAAAGGCCAATTCCGGGGGAGAACCCCGGAGAAGCTAACTTCCAACCCCAGCCCAGGTCTTCACTCTGCTCCCTTGAGCAGCCCACAGAAGTTTAGAGGTTTGACTGGTTTTACACTGCCTTCACATGATAGGCATGATTCTGTGACTCTTACTGTTTCAATTCACTCTGCGGCTGTGGATCCTATTCACATTCCAATGCCACAGAGGTTGAAGAGGAGAGAGGTGACCTAACATCTCAAGGTCGCACAGGTAGTGAGTGGTAACATGAGGAGTCAAGCTCTGGAAGGTTGCCCAGACCCACTCGGTGACACTCCAAGTCCACCTGCTGTAGAATTTGGACACAGATGAATTCTCTGTGCCAGAGGAAGCATGTGATGTAGCCACTGTTTCCAGAACTGTTTCACAAACATCACCTCACTCAAATTTAGGGCAACTGTATGTGGTAGAAAGAGTGAGTATGGAGTACTGCCAATGACATTTTTTTCAGATGAAGAGATTAAAGGCAGAAAGCTGAAGCTTTATCTGCCCAACATCAGCAAATTTGGGAACATTACCTTTTCTGTTGTAAGCTAGTCATCTTTCCACTCTGCCTGTTCTCAATGTGGAAATTAAAAGAGAAGCTAGAAAATTCTGTGCGTTTTTACTTTGCTCTAACTTTAAACATGGGCTTGGGAGGCAGGTATGACCTCAAATAGAGGGCCCCAAAGACACAGGTGCTGGGTGATGCTTATACAAGGAAAGAGAAATCTTTACTCTGACTTTGCTCAGTGATTTGGGGGTGACTTGGAAGCTTTGCCAGAGTATCAGGCTTGGACATCATGACAAAGAAAAGTCCTAAATGGGAAACTTGTACAAGGGCAATAGGCACAAGGGGCCAAGGCCACATTTTTGCAACTGGATAACTTTTACTACCCAAAACTCTATTCTTAAGATGCTCAACATCCATGGAAGGGTGATTATAGTTAAGTGTGCTGCCTTTTAGAATGCTGGCTACCTCATTTCCCAAAAGTTAGTTTTCTAAGCACCAAGTTTTATTGCTGGGAAATTGCTATGGTCTGGTATTAAGCACCAAGATGATGATGGGTTTAGATCTAACACAAAAATTAGAGAGCTTTTAAGTGGAAAAAGACATTGGTATTTACCATGTGTATTTTAGAGAAACTGCAGTAATGAAGGACTTTTCAGAGGGAAAGTAGAAATAAGCTGTTGAAACAGCTACCTTTGTTTAACTCAAAGTGAGTCACTGTCTATAGAATTCTCCAGAAAGGGAATGTGGGCGGCCAGTCCCATTCTCCACTGTGATCTTCAGAAATGTGGGCGCAGGCAACACGCCCGCTAATGAGGCCTCAGAAGTGTCTGATCATCTCCTTTAATTGCTCTAAATAATTGGAGGACTGCATGGCCTGGCTTCTGCTACCCAGAGATGGCCAATTCAAATATGCAAATCTAAAATTATGTGAATACCACTCTAATTGGAGTCTGGGTTACCCATTATTTTGACGACGGACAAAACAATATGATGAAAAAAAACACTGACTATCAAATTCTTCATTTTAAGCTTCACTGAACTGCCCAAATTACCCACAGGCAGTCCTGACAGGGACCACTTTACAAGGGAGTTGATGACCTCTAATTAAGACACAAGGCATTTCTCTCATTATGTTACTATTTGAAATTGAAATTGGTTTGACCTATGCAATTCTATAAAATACCACCGAGCAAGACTCCAATCAGGCACCTTACAGGAGATGAAATGTGCAATAGTCCAATAAATACCATGAAAAGACACAGGTTCCGTCCTCCTCGCCAGCTGCTTGCCTTGTAGAGTGGCAGGTCTGAAATGCCATGTCCCGTGCCATGACTTTCTCGAGAAACTGCATCTAACAGAGGATGGCGGTCAGGCAATGCTAAGTCTTTTTCCCACCAGGAGTTGGGTCGGTTGTAACCAGTCTTTCTTAACTCGAATCATCAATTTCAACCTCTCTCTACTTCTCCTTCCAACAGCTCTTCTATTTTGAAGCTGGTCTCATCTTTACTATCCTACTCTTCATCCCAGACCATGCTCCAAGACACTTTCCCGCCACTGAGCTCTCTCCTAATGACCTGAAGTTTCTCTTACCATTTACCCTGTTGTTGCAGGCACTTAGAAATACTCAGCCCCACTGTACTGAATTGTATTAAATGAGATCAAAAAACCTTTCCCTTCTCTCTTAAAGTCTAGTGATTTCATCTCATCTCCCTGGGTCCAGTTCTGCCCACCTTTGGGGGCTAAGAGAAAGTAGAACTTTAGGGTTTCCTCAACCCTACTCTTGTTTCCTTTCTTTCCCCATCTCATCTTTGCCAAATCGCTAAAGATAGTTGCCATCCCTGCTGTTATTCCCTGTTGACCTATACAATCTGTTCTTCAGGCCTACCCACAGGACATATTTTCTGTAGCAATTAAATTAAGAAACTACTGCTTTAACAACAGATAGCAAGAACTAGAACCCCAATTTTTCCAAGGAGTAATGCTGTTGAGTCTTTTCCCTTTATCTATA